TTTTTACCCAACAGAAAGCTCAATCCCAAGAAAATGCCCCTTAGATATTGTCTGAGATGTTCCTAGCTTTTGATTTTTTGAATCGCGCTCCATTTAATCCAAGTAAGTAAGGTTGTTTGGTTATTTATTCCATTCTTTAACCACCTGCTATTTCTTTCTCCCCAAAGGTGATAAATGAGAGAAGAAATAGCTAAATCGCTATAGTTTTTAGTTGCATAAGAGGTACGCTGAAGATCATCAATAAAATAAAACATTTGCAGAATATTCAGGCCGGGCAGAAAAGAGATAAAACATAGTATAATTATATTGGGAAGTAAAAAAACCATGCGGTGCAACAAACAAGATAAATAAAGTTACACTGAAAAAAAGACAACACAAGAATTTAAGGGGAAAAAAATTCAAATCAGGAAAAAAATCATGGAGCCACAATTGTACAGCTGTCTCTTCTCACACTCACTTTTTTCTCTCTTCGCTTCACATATGAATTATCCACACAAAACAGACAAGAGATAAAATTAAAACATCCAAATGATGCAATCCTTCAAATGAAATAAGAAGAGGGAAGAGAAATGCTTAGCCCAACTCATAGCACTGTGGCGTCGGTGTTTGAAGCACCACAATGCTTCACTCTGTCTCCAGCACAACTCACAGCGCTACGACGCGACATTGAGGTCGAAGCACCACAACACTTCACTCTCTGTCTTCAGCTCGAGCCTGAAGCATTGCAACACTCCAACATACATTGTCGTGAACTTGTACAATTGTACTAACAGAAAATTTTATTATAAGTATTTGCCTCCAAGCTGGGGTAAGCTGCCCCCCTACGACCCCCCTACTAAGCTCCTCTTCAAGCTAGACTGACAAAATTGACGTTTGAGTCAACAATACAATCCGATTGATTAACACAACATATTCCATACAAAGTAAGATGAAAGAGAAATCACATTAAAAGAAAATGTATGCTGACCTTTCCAAATTGCCATTACACAGACCACATAGAAGAGCTGTGGGTATATACCTCTTAATTAGAGTATCAGCAGTTTTTAACCTCTTAGCAGAACAAGCTACGTATATGCAGAATATCTAAGAGAGTTCTTCTTATGCCAAATATTCCTATTCCATTCAACACGAGGCCAACCACGATATTTTGTTTTTAGAAAAATTTTGTGTTTGGGCTTAGCCCTCCCCATCAAAAAAAAAAAAAGATTTAGTTATCATCCCCATAAATAACCAAGAATAGCAGCCCTTATTGCCACAGGAAGGGAATGAGGGAGGTTCCAAGTGCTAGTGTTTCCTGGAAGCAATAAAGAGAACGGAACAATTTGAAAGCAAAATACTAAATATTTACCATGTAACCAAGGGTTCCCAAAGAAAGATATCTTACTGCCACTGTTGATTTGAAAAGAAATTTTTCATTTAATATTAGTAGCCAGCATATTAAAATGTACAATGCAATTTTTCCAAGGAACAAATATCCTATAAACAAAGAGGATATCTTCCTCAGAATACTTGAAAGCACCACTCAAGACTAAACTACATATGAAAATCCAACCCTAGCAAAAACATACACTAGAGAGATGAACTCTTCAAACGGGAAGAACGAACCTCGGCGGCCACAACTCCGCTGATATGAGCCATGCCGCACATCACAGTAGCGCCACACTGAAATTCACACCGCAGTATTTAACGCCGCCAAAGCTCGCTCGCAGCACAAACCCTCAATTTCATCACTGTATTGATTCCCCGCATAATGACGAGCCCCCAACATTCCCTCAGAATACCTGTCCGTTAAATGAATCCCTAGCACATGGAGGACGGCCTGGGAAAGGTAGTTCGCGGAGGCGATCAGCTCTATGCCCTTGATCTGCCTATGCCTCTCCTTCTCTGACATCTCATGCACGACAGGATCAGCCACATGCAATGGATTGTTCCGCCACGACGGAACGGTTGCTGTCCTGGTTTCGAGGTCAGGCTCAATCAACGCTCTCTTGGATGGACTAAGATATGAAAAAGAGCGGTGAGACGAGGAATATTTTCTCTGCCGCATGAGAATCATAGGATGACCGACTATGCTGAACTCCTCCCCCCTCTGTCCATCCTCGGAATCCGCCCTGCCATCAAGAAAGACACATCCACCGTGCTGATTCTCTGAATTTCGATAGATCAGCTGCAGTGGTGGACACCGCGAACAGTGGTAGTCGCAGGGAATCCAAAAGCTGTGAGCTTAAAGCTCTGTCAAAGGGCAGAATTGATGGGAGAGATCCATATAAGAAGGCGCCAAACCATATATCCCAAGCTTTAAAATTACAAATCGGCGGGGGAAGAGCAGCAGTAACAACAGCAGAAACAACGGCAGCAGCGGCGGAAACAGCAGCAGTAACAGTAACGTAGGGATGAAGAACGGCCGGCGGGATTAGAGTGGGATGATTCCATTAACGGGAAGAGGGAAAGCAAAAAGAGAGGAGAGTACAGAACTGAGAAGTTGCGTGGAGTAGTGACAACGTTGTTGTGTTAGACACAACAGCTAAATATTAGTTTATATTGTATTATTACTTTACAGGTGTATACATTACATTGGTTCTTTTATAACAGGCTACTCTCTATGCCTATATATAGAGTCACTGGATTTCCTTTTTCTATATTGAATGAATCCTATTCTTCTTCTAGCTCTATTCTTCTTCTTCTAGCTCTGTTCTTGTGTACTTGACTGTACTGTTCTTGGCTTCCTCTCTATGAAGCTTTCATGGTATCAGAGCAGGATCCTTTCCAATCCTCCCGTCTCCCTCTAAGGTTACCCTAAGTCTCTAGTATTCTCTTCTTCTTCCGCGGCTGCCATGGCAACCTCATATTCCACGGCCACGACTACACTCGAACCCGGACAGAGCTCCGGTAATTTCTCAGAAACACAAGTTATCCCTCAACAGCTCAAGTTCTTGATGAGCCATATCAAAGGCATCATCTCCCTCACCCTCACAGCCGAAAACTTCCCCATTTGGCGCTCTCAAGTCTTCAAACTCTTCAAGGAAAACGGATTTGAAGGCTTTCTTGATGGCAGTTGTCTCTGTCCCAGCCCTCATCACCAAACGACTTCAACTGAGCTATCCTTCCAAACTTGGAATCTTCTTGATCATAATCTTGCAGCCGCCCTGTACTCCGTCATCTCACCCAGCATTCTCCCATATGTTCTTTCGCTTGATCATTGTGCTGAAATATGAGAAACCATAGCTCGACGACTCCAGTCCAACACCCATTCTCGCACCATCCAACTGCGAAACGAACTCTGTCACTTGTCTATGAAAAATCAATCAATGCCGCAATATCTTCTATCCGTCAAGTCGATCGTTGACGCTATCACAACAACCGGATCTCCCTTAGATCCCGAGGAGGTGATCTTCTACACCCTCAATGGTCTTCCGGTGCAATATCAATCCTTCAAAACCGATATTCGCACGAATCTGCAACCTCTCAGTCTCGACGACTTGTACACACTGCTCTGCAGCGAAGAGTTTAATCTTGTTCAAGAAAACACTACAACACTTCAAAACCTCCAGCTCAATGATCCAACAACTGCTCTCGCTGCGTATCGAGGTCGTGGACGCACCAATTCCGGCAGAGGTCGCAACACAAGTCGCGGTCGCAGCCGTCCCGACAAGAACCCCTCAAGCGGTATTATCTGTCAGATTTGTTCTAAAACAGGGCACTCTGCCTTCAAATGCTGGTATCGGAATGATCCCTCCTACAATGAAGACTCAATCAAGACTGCTCTATTCACCCAGCAGCTGAGTCCATGGGTGGCGGTGGCTGCGACGGGACAATCCTTGCGACACGGTTTGGATCTAGCACCTTTCTTCCACAGGATGTCTCTCTCTCTCTCTCTCTCCTCGGTTGCCCTGATGGTGGGTAGATACCTTGAGATGAAGTGGCCCCATCCTCCCCTCCAAATGCTTTGGCCTTCGGCCTCTCCTCACAGCTGTGGCCTACGACAGTTTTGCCTTCGGGACAGGGGATCGGCGGCTCTTGTGATGGTCGGAGGGCATTCCCAGTTGGTGCGCGCTTTCGATAGCCGCACCATGTGAAACGTCATTGAAAAATCTATAATCTTTTCCCATTCTCCCAGCTTTAGATGTTAAGGCGCCATTGGCTCCACATCTTGCGCCAAAGCCAAGAAAGAGGGGTTCTTTTCAGGCGACGAACTGGATGTTTTTTGGGGTTCCTGCAACCTGCAGGTAAAGAATCAAACTAAAAATTGGGTGAAATTCATTTCATTTCCTTCACTTTTATCAAGGCTTCCAAACATAAATCAGCTCTGTAAACGATATCAATAGTAGTTGAGTTTGTTTTTTGTGGTTATATTGTATTTAATTTCAATAAATTTTTTTATTTTATTTTTTTTGGTTAACAGGTTATTCTTTGAATTGCAAATACCTGCTTGTATATCCTACAAAATTTTGATAATTGTGATTGTTTTAGTTTTCTTATTCAGTACTCATAAGCAAGTAAAATGTATTTTAAAATATTAGAATAATGTATTCAAAATCAAAAATTGAAAAAAAAAAGATATTAGAGGAAATATCAATTTAGTAAACAACATTTTTAGACATATACTTTGCTGCTCGCTTGTTCAAATATATTTCTCATAAGTCATTGGAGGCATTAATTACCACTCTATATTTATTTAAGTTTTTAACAATACATTTGATTTGTTGAAAAAGAAACTTTTAACAAACGACAATCCTCATTAAGAGGCGTAATTGAAAAATTATTTGGTGTTTGGAAGAAAAAGTGTGTCATACTACGAGATATGCCTGCATATTCATACACAAAACAAATAAAAATAGTGATTGCAACAATGACATTGCATAATTACATACGGCAACTTCCCACTCGAGAAGACCCAGAATTCAATATATGTGATGCAGACATAACATATATACCATAAGAGGCATATGAGTATAGAATTGGACAATCATTAGTTGAGATTGAAGATAATGGTTATAATCATGAGGCATATGAGTATAGAATGGCACGAGATTAAAGCCAATTCATCAACTGGATGTCTCCAATGCCTTCCTCCACGGGACTCTCAATCATCTCGTCCATATGAAACAACCGTCGGGTTCATAGACACAAACCATCCCAATTATGTTTGTCGCCTCAAGAAAGCACTCTACGGTTTGAAACAATCCCCTCGAGAGTGGTTCGCCACCCTATCTGGCCATCTTCAGACCCTTGGGTTTCAGCTTAGCATCTCCGATCCATCACTCTTTCTTTACCACAAAAACGGGATTCGCATGTTCTTCCTCGTCTATGTTGACGACATCCTTCTTACCGGCAACAGTCCCGCCGCACTCAAGAAACTTCTGGACAACCTCAATTCCACCTTTACAATGCGAGATCTCGGCACTATTTCGCAATTTTTGGGTATCCAGGCCACCTCCACATCTTATGGGCTTCACCTCAACCAAAGTAGATTTGCTCAAAGCATTCTCGCTCGTGCAGGTATGTCTAACTGTAAACCTGTTTCAACTCCATCTCAATTAAAAACTCCCACTAGTAATGGTCTAACCGCTGCCTACTCAAATCCAGCCTTCTATCGACAACTCGCTGGATGCTTACAATATCTCACCCTCACTCGGCCGGACATCGCCTACACCGTCAACAAGATATGCCAAAACATGCAAAATCCAACTATCCAACACTTCGACAATCTCAAACGTCTACTTTGGTACATCCAAGGTACCTTGCATATTAGACTTCCTCTCTTCCGCGGTGAGCTCGTTCTTCGCTCATACACAGACTCCGATTGGGCCGGTGACACACAGGATTGGAAGTCTATGTCCGGTTATTGCAACTTTCTTGGTTCCTCTCTCATCTCTTGGAGCGTCAAGAAACAAAATGCTGTCGCTCGATCATCTACCGAAGCCGAATATCGAGCACTTGCATCTGCCGCAGCTGAAGTCACGTGGATCCGCCGTCTGCTACAAGAACTTCACTGCACCCAGACCACCGCTACTTCCCTCTTCTGCGACAACACCTCGGCTATAGCATTGGCAAACAACCATATCTTTCACGCCAGAACTAAGCATATCGAGGTCGATTGTCATTACATTCGCCACTGCATCAAAGACAAATCAATCCAGATTCATCACATTCCCACGGCAGAACAACTGGCTGACCTTCTCACGAAGACGCTTCCTTCACCTAGATTCAAACTACTCACCAACAAGCTGGTGCAGCCTATGGATCCACCACCTTGAGGGGGGATGTTAGACACAACAGCTAAACATTAGTTTATATTGTATTATTACTTTACAGGTGTATACATTACATTGGTTCTTTTATAACAGGCTACTCTCTATGCCTATATATAGAGTCACTGGATTTCCTTTTTCTATATTGAATGAATCCTATTCTTCTTCTAGCTCTATTCTTCTTCTTCTAGCTCTGTTCTTGTGTACTTGTCTGTACTGTTCTTGGCTTCCTCTCTATGAAGCTTTCATGGTATCAGAGCAGGATCCTTTCCAATCCTCCCGTCTCCCTCTAAGGTTACCCTAAGTCTCTTGTATTCTCTTCTTCTTCCGCGGCTGCCATGGCAACCTCATATTCCACGGCCACGACTACACTCGAACCCGGACAGAGCTCCGGTAATTTCTCAAAAACACAAGTTATCCCTCAACAGCTCAAGTTCTTGATGAGCCATATCAAAGGCATCATCTCCCTCACCCTCACAGCCGAAAACTTCCCCATTTGGCGCTCTCAAGTCTTCAAACTCTTCAAGGAAAACGGATTTGAAGGCTTTCTTGATGGCAGTTGTCTCTGTCCCAGCCCTCATCACCAAACGACTTCAACTGAGCTATCCTTCCAAACTTGGAATCTTCTTGATCATAATCTTGCAGCCGCCCTGTACTCCGTCATCTCACCCAGCATTCTCCCATATGTTCTTTCGCTTGATCATTGTGCTGAAATATGAGAAACCATAGCTCGACGACTCCAGTCCAACACCCATTCTCGCACCATCCAACTGCGAAACGAACTCTGTCACTTGTCTATGAAAAATCAATCAATGCCGCAATATCTTCTATCCGTCAAGTCGATCGTTGACGCTATCACAACAACCGGATCTCCCTTAGATCCCGAGGAGGTGATCTTCTACACCCTCAATGGTCTTCCGGTGCAATATCAATCCTTCAAAACCGATATTCGCACGAATCTGCAACCTCTCAGTCTCGACGACTTGTACACACTGCTCTGCAGCGAAGAGTTTAATCTTGTTCAAGAAAACACTACAACACTTCAAAACCTCCACCTCAATGATCCAACAACTGCTCTCGCTGCGTATCGAGGTCGTGGACGCACCAATTCCGGCAGAGGTCGCAACACAAGTCGCGGTCGCAGCCGTCCCGACAAGAACCCCTCAAGCGGTATTATCTGTCAGATTTGTTCTAAAACAGGGCACTCTGCCATCAAATGCTGGTATCGGAATGATCCCTCCTACAATGAAGACTCAATCAAGACTGCTCTATTCACCCCGTCCGAAGCCACTACTACCACCGACTGGTTTCTTGACTGTGGAGCCTCAAATCATCTCATGTCCGAATCTTCCAACCTTCAATCAGGTCGCCCATACACCGGAAATCAACAAATCATCGTTGGCAACGGCTATCAACTTCCCATTCAGCACACCGGAAAAGGTATTCTCCCAACTCCCAAAGGTAATCTCCATCTTAAACATCTTCTTAATGTTCCAAATCTGTCGTTCAATCTCATTTCTATCTACCGGCTAACCAAAGATAACGATTGCTCGGTCAAGTTTTCTGCTCACGAATTTCACATCCAGGACTCGAAGACGGGTCAAACTCTTCTCAAGGGACCATGCTTTAACGGGCTTTATCCCGTCCGCTCCTCCCCTGACATCTCCGGCTTTGCTTTGTTCTCAGCTCAAGAAATACCAAACCTTTGGCACAAACGCCTCGGACATCCGGCACAGCAGACTTTACAAGTCATTGGCAAAACCATACCAGCAATTTGTAACAATTTTAATAAAAATTCCTGTCAATCTTGTAACCTGGCTAAAAGCCATCGTTTACCTGTCAAGAACTCTAATTCTTCTACATCTCAAATTTTCGATTTAGTTCACTCAGACATATGGGGGCCATCCCCCATAACTTCGGTACAAGGTTACAAATACTACATCTCGTTCATCGATGATTTCTCGAAATTTTGCTGGACGTTCCCGCTAACACACAAATCCGAGGCTTTCGATAAATTTCTTGAACTGCATAATTTAATCAAAAATCAATTTAACAAACATATTAAAATCTTTAGATCCGACGGAGGCGGAGAATTCCGGAACAACAAATTTCAGACCCTGTTCAAGAACACGGGTATGATTCACCAATTTACCGGCCCTCACACGCCAGCTCAAAACGGTGTCGCCGAACGAAAACATCGCCATATACTTGAAACCATGCGCAGCCTCCTAATCGAAGCTCACCTCCCTAAAAATCTATGGGTCGAAGCTCTTAATACTGCTGTCTACCTCATTAACAGGTTGCCCTCTAGAACTCTTAAAAATAGGAGTCCATTCCACATCTTATATCACAAACCTCCCGAGTATAAGCAGTTAAAAATTTTCGGATGTCTCTGTTATCTGTGGACTCGACCCTACAACACTACTAAGCTCTCCCCGCTATCGATCCCCTGCATCTTCATCGGTTATGGCTCAGCGCAGAAGGGCTACCGTTGTCTTGATCCCAAAACCGGCTTCGTCTACATTTCTCGGCATGTCGTCTTCAACGAAGGTACGTTTCCTTACCAAACTTCTCCTCCATCCAATTGTCAGTCTTCCACATCTAACTTTACTCCTCCGCTTCTTCTGGTTCCAATTCAATCAAAAACCACTTCCACCCGTGTTCCCACCACGGCTCAAGCACCGGACAAACTACCTCTATTAGAAGTCATGCCAATCCAGAATTCTCCGGCCCACGATCCCCCTCCAAGTTACACTGCTACGGCACCACCCAACCCGTCCACAAGCCAACAATCTGCTCATCCTATGCAAACCCGATCAAAAATAGGTCACTCCAAACCAAAGCAGATCTTCAGCTTGGCACATACCTCCTTAGACACCGATCCCACGTGCTGCAAAGAAGCCGTCGGTTCCAAACACTAGCAACAGGCGATGTAGCAAGAATTTCAGGCACTAAAGTCGTAAAATACTTGGGAGCTAGTTCCTCCCGAAGCATCACAAAATATTTTGGGATGCAAGTGGACCTACCGCACAAAATACCTCGCAGATGGTACTGTTGCACGATACAAGGCCAGACTCGTCGCGCAAGGCTTCAATCAAGAACAAGGTCTCAACTACGATGAAACGTTCAGTCCAGTCGCCAAAATACCGACTGTCAAAATCCTCCTAGTCATTGCTCTTCATTACCAATGGCCAATTCATCAACTGGATGTCTCCAATGCCTTCCTCCACGGGACTCTCAATCATCTCGTCCATATGAAACAACCGTCGGGTTCATAGACACAAACCATCCCAATTATGTTTGTCGCCTCAAGAAAGCACTCTACGGTTTGAAACAATCCCCTCGAGAGTGGTTCGCCACCCTATCTGGCCATCTTCAGACCCTTGGGTTTCAGCTTAGCATCTCCGATCCATCACTCTTTCTTTACCACAAAAACGGGATTCGCATGTTCTTCCTCGTCTATGTTGACGACATCCTTCTTACCGGCAACAGTCCCGCCGCACTCAAGAAACTTCTGGACAACCTCAATTCCACCTTTACAATGCGAGATCTCGGCACTATTTCGCAATTTTTGGGTATCCAGGCCACCTCCACATCTTATGGGCTTCACCTCAACCAAAGTAGATTTGCTCAAAGCATTCTCGCTCGTGCAGGTATGTCTAACTGTAAACCTGTTTCAACTCCATCTCAATTAAAAACTCCCACTAGTAATGGTCTAACCGCTGCCTACTCAAATCCAGCCTTCTATCGACAACTCGCTGGATGCTTACAATATCTCACCCTCACTCGGCCGGACATCGCCTACACCGTCAACAAGATATGCCAAAACATGCAAAATCCAACTATCCAACACTTCGACAATCTCAAACGTCTACTTTGGTACATCCAAGGTACCTTGCATATTAGACTTCCTCTCTTCCGCGGTGAGCTCGTTCTTCGCTCATACACAGACTCCGATTGGGCCGGTGACACACAGGATTGGAAGTCTATGTCCGGTTATTGCAACTTTCTTGGTTCCTCTCTCATCTCTTGGAGCGTCAAGAAACAAAATGCTGTCGCTCGATCATCTACCGAAGCCGAATATCGAGCACTTGCATCTGCCGCAGCTGAAGTCACGTGGATCCGCCGTCTGCTACAAGAACTTCACTGCACCCAGACCACCGCTACTTCCCTCTTCTGCGACAACACCTCGGCTATAGCATTGGCAAACAACCATATCTTTCACGCCAGAACTAAGCATATCGAGGTCGATTGTCATTACATTCGCCACTGCATCAAAGACAAATCAATCCAGATTCATCACATTCCCACGGCAGAACAACTGGCTGACCTTCTCACGAAGACGCTTCCTTCACCTAGATTCAAACTACTCACCAACAAGCTGGTGCAGCCTATGGATCCACCACCTTGAGGGGGGATGTTAGACACAACAGCTAAACATTAGTTTATATTGTATTATTACTTTACAGGTGTATACATTACATTGGTTCTTTTATAACAGGCTACTCTCTATGCCTATATATAGAGTCACTGTATTTCCTTTTTCTATATTGAATGAATCCTATTCTTCTTCTAGCTCTGTTCTTGTGTACTCGTCTGTACCGTTCTTGGCTTCCTCTCTATGAAGCTTTCATGTTGGAACACAACTCTCCTTGGCCTATTGGTTGAGAGCTAAGGCTTCCAACTAAGAGGTCTAAGGTTCGAGTCTCATTGAAATATTTGAGATTATTCCAACTAAATTGACATAAAATTTGAATTGACTTTTTTATATATATTTAACATCTAATTAATTTTATTTTTTAAAGAGTTTTTTAATGAAAAAAAATTACTAAAAAACTTATTTAAAAAATTGTTTAAAAAGTCATCCCACACAATAAACCTTAGATGCAACACACGAATACAAATATACACACTAATGGGTTTGGTATCAGATTTACAACGGGATTTAAGTCAGATTTACACTAAATCCAACCAAATGGTATTTTGTGTGACTGTAAATCCAACAA